GAAGAGAAAGACCTGGAGAAAATCACAAAATATAAAGACCTGCAAATAGAAGTTGAACAACTACAGCAAAATAAAGCAAAGATAGTACCAACAGTTGTAGGCACCCTAGGTGCAATCCCAAAACATCTGGAGCACCACTTGAAGACCATCGGCATTGATGAAATCACCATTAGTCAATTGCAAAAGGCACTTTATTTGGAACAGTTTATATCCTGTGATGATACCTTTAACACAATAAACAACATCTGCCTATCCCAGGTCCTTGGGAAGGACTTGATAGGTGGATCAAAATGCAAAATCTAGTCTAAACATTTGGCTGACTCTGTGACCAACCACAATAACAACAACGAGGAGGAGGAGGAGGACTTGTTGTATCATGCATTGATGACTTTGCTGTAAGAACTAGGGAATGAAGTGCAAAAAGAAATTGACTATGCACCCATGTGGGACAAATGCTAAGAAGAATAACAATTTTTTTTTACATGAAATACTCATTAAACACATTAAAACCAAAATTATAAGGTACAATCAAAATATAAAAATAAACAAATTTCACAAATATTCACATCTTCCCAAGTGCTCATGAGATTTAAGTGTTGCTATATGAGATTTCATAAGCTCATACCAGATAACCGTATTCTTCTGAGAATATTTCCTGGGTTTATGTTATTATAATGCATTATTTTGCCTTCAGATTTGATCTGTATTATGTTTAATACCAATTACATACTGGGTAGTTGTATGTCACTCTGAGTCAGCTGATTGGAGCAACACATAAGCTCTGTAAGCAAACAAACAGTGAAATCTCACTAAATATGAATGTCTCAATAAGACACGGTCATTTCTGAAACCAGTATCAAATTTTTATTTATTTAAAGGATCCCTGGATGCAAGTTGGGAATATTATTGACATTTTGAGGCCTTCAGGGCCATATTGCTAGTTTCTGATGTAGTATGTTGCATTCTATATTATATAAATGTGTTTTAAATTGAGGTTTTGAAAATGTCATAAGAAATATAGAGTCCAAATTATCTAGGCCAAATAAAATTGCTTTTCTGATAAAGAATCTGGCCTGACGAAAACCAGTAAAATACATAGAGTGTAAATTTTTAACAGTCAGTACTGATAAAACCCTTCTTTTTTGTTCTGTAGTTTAAAATGTTTCACTGAAATTTATGAAGCTATTCACATTTTTTTAGATCTTCCACCACCACCAGACCCACCTCCAGGTCAGGGAATAAGGCAACAGATAGGTGCTGGCCAACGTGGAGGTTCAACAGACAGAAAAGGAAGCTCTTTAGAACGACAGCATACAACCAACATAGATGAGACAAAGAGTTCTTTGGATCGTCAAGCTAGAACATCACTAGAGTGGCAACGGCAAACCCAGGATTGGCTAAATTCCACAGAACTTCAAGGCCAGAAAAAGCAAGCCTTTGGATCAGGTGCGTAATTGTACCTCTCAGAGTAGCTAAGGCAATTTCTTAAAGCTATTATAATGTACTATTAATTCTTTTACAAATGGTGAAGGTCAAGATGTACATAGCAACAAAGAATGTCAATTAGCATTTGACATCCATTATTATTTGTTCCTGCAATAGTGAAGCATTGAATACACCTAACTACTAACATTCTGATTGCATGCTTTCCTTTAGGAAATAAGGTTGCTGTTATTCTATACAGCTGGAGGATGTATTTGTTTTCTGAGGAACATGTAGCTTTGAAGCATGCATTTGTTGTGATTTTTTTTAAGCCACTAATCTAGAATTGTTGCATGCTAATGGTACACTAAAGATCCTTATGTCCATTAGCATAAATTTATCCATACTTAATTCAGTTTTTCTGAAAAATGCTCAAAGCTGTGACTTGTTTGTGCATGGCTTTTTAAAGATAAGTTTAGGAATATTGTTCACCCAGTTTGGTGATTTTGAAGTCTTATTTATAAAGCAATTTATTTACTGTATGCATAAATAATTGTTTACAGATTTCAGATATTAATTTCTTCCTAATTACTGATACCATATATTTTAGGCTTTCTGAATTAGTGGGATAAATTCTATCATCATAGTTTTTTACCAAAAATTATAAATTGCACAGAAATAATAAAGAAGAAACATTTATGTATGATAAAAGCATACCAACTGAAATAGTTTGTTCTCATGATTTCTTTGCATCCAGTAATACTGATGTGTTATGGGATGCACAAAGTTAGTGATTATGCACTAACTGAGTGCTGAATTTTAATGACTTTATAAGAACAACAATTAATCTATTATTTGAAGATTATTACTGTGGAAATCTAAGAGCTGGATATATCCACTTATCTAGGAAAGTTTTCACTGAACTGAAAAATACATTTCAGAAATGTAAATTTATTATGGTCTTTTATTCTGCTAAATAAGTGTTCTATGTCTTGTTATATAATGTTATCCTACTCCCAATACACATGCAACAGTAGTGCTGCAGTGATTGTGTCACAGACCCAAATAGATGTAAGAAGAGCAGTAAGGGCAATGACATTCTTCCTTAAAGATAATCTGGTAGAATATTTTTCCTGAACACTTTTTTTTTAAAGTGCCAAAATATTAAAAGACACAGGATAGAAGAGGAAAGAACAGACAATATGATTCTGCATGGTCTAGGTTCAATATATGGTTTAAAAATTGGGTTATAATGTTGAAAAATTGAAAGTACTTCAAAGTAGAGATGTCAGAAGACATTTTGATGTCTGAGTTCAAACTGTATTATTGATGTACTGTTGCCATAGCTTGTTATTGTATAGGAAACTCTCAGATTTATTCTGAAGCCACAACTTCACAGTGAAATGCTTTTGCTGAGACAGTGCTGAGCTGTATAGACTGATGACCCAACACAATATAAGCAGGTTCATGACCAGAAATATTGGAATAAGGACAATTGTTTTGGCATTTGGCCTCTGTACACCACCACACTGAAGGTGAAAGGAAACACACCCAGATGGGAGCGAAGTCAGGGTTTCAGCTGTAATTCCAGAGGTTTGACAAAAGTGGGACACTAACCATTCAAGAAGTACAGCCAGTAGCATACACACACACCCATCATTGGTGGCTCATAAGTAATGGAAGGAATGGCTGACAAGCAGCTGCATGGCCAGGTGTGGCTTGTTTCCTGGGTACCCCATGACCAATCAAGGAGATAAAAGGCCTGGAGGCAGTTACATTTGCATTTGGTAGCTGTTCACTGGAATGCTCAACATGAGGTCCAAAGAGGTGTCCATGCGAGTGAAGGAGGCCATCATTAGGCTGAGAAGACAAAAGAAGCCCATCAGAGAGATAGCAAGAACATTGGGAGGGGCCAATACAACAGTTTGGAACATCCTGAAAAAGAAGGAATTAACTGACAAGCTCAGCAACAGCAAAAGGCCTGGAAGATCATGGAAGACAATTAAAGTGGATGACCGCAGAATTCTGCTCATGGTGAAGAGGAACCCTTTCGCAACATCTAGCCAGGTCAAGAACACTCTTGAGGAGGTAGGCATGTCATTGTCAACATCTCCAGTCAAGAGACGGCTTTATGAATATAAATACAGAGGCTTCACAACAAGATGCAAACCACTGGTAATTCTGAAGAACAGAAAGGCCAGGTTAGACTTTTCCAGCAAACCCCTAAAAAAGCCTCCCCAGTTCTGGAATAAGATTCTTTGGACTGAAGAAACCAAGATTAACTTGCACCAGAATGATGGGAAGAGAAAAGTATGGAGAAGGAAAGGAACAGCTCAGGATCCAAGCATACCACATCATCTATCAAACATGGTGGAGGCAGTGTTATGGCATGGGCTTGTATGGCTGCCAGTGAAACCTGGCCACTGGTGTTGATTGATGACCTGACTGCTGATAAAAGCAGCAGGATGAATTCTGAAGTGTAAAGGGCTATACTTTCTGCTCAGTTTCAGCCAAATGCTGCCCAACTGATAGGACGCTGCTTCATATTGCAGATGAAGAATGACCCAAAACATACAGCAAAAGCTACCCAAGGGTTTGTCAAGGCAAAGAAGTGGGATGTTCTTCAATGGCCAAGTCAGTCACCTGATCTCAACCCGATAGAGCATGCTTTTCACTTCCTGAAGACAAGACTGAAGGCAGAAAGACCCACAAACAAGCAGCAGTGGAAGGCAGCTGCAGTAAAGGCCTGGCAAAGCATCTTGAGGGAGGAAACTCAGCATTTGGTCATGTCCATGGGTTCCAGACCTCAGTCAGTCATTGACTGCAAAGGATTTTCATCCAGGTAATGATGTTGGTTTGTTCCATTACTTATAAGCCACCAATGATGGGTGTGTGTGTTTGCCACTGACTGTACTTCCTGGATGGTTAGTGCTCCATTTTTGTCAAACCCCTTGAATCACAGCTGAAAGTCTTGACTTCACTCCCATCTGGGTGTGTTTCCTTTCAACTTCAATGTGGTGGTGTACAGAGGCCAAATGCCAAAAGAGTTATCCTTGTTCCAATATTTCTGACTGTATGTGTGTTCCTTTGAGTAGAATGTAATTCCTGGTGACTGCCTGAACTAGTCCTTGCAGTTTTCTTGGCAAGATTTTTTTTTTTTTCCCCGCCAGAAGAAGTTTGCCATTGCCTTTCTGTGGAGTCCTTGGGGTTTTCTGAGCTTGGTTGTTTTCTTGCAAATGTTTCATTACCCAGCTAGGTAACATTGTCAATGCTAGAATGGAATGGGGTTTGCTCTCTCTTTATATATTGTGGCATGCACTGCCAGTGTTGGTGGAGGTGTTTTGTTTTGTTCTATTTTTTCCCTCTGGAAGTTCCTTGATTAAGGTATTGTTTACTGCTTGTATGTCTGGTGGTAATCTTGGTGTTAATCTCTGCTTATCTGGGTGATGATCACTGGTGAGGAGATGTTCTGGTCTTTTGTTTCCTTTTTATTGTCTCTTCTGAATAATGTGTAGATGGTGTTTATCTCTATGTGCCTGTTAATTGCCGCCTTGTTTGAATACCAAGCTTCCAAGAATTCCCTTGCATTTTTGGATTTAGTTTGGTCTGAGATGCTGACAGTTTCCCAGCTGAAACTATGGTTAAGTCTGTCCATGTGTTGTGAGATTAA